ATGGGGGTAGAATGACCACCTTCTCATGTCTGAGCAATGGAGAACCATGGTGCACCTCCATTTGATCCATCCCCTCAGCCTTTCCTGGGTGGTATTTTGGGAGCAGGAGAGAGCCTGTGCCAAAGTGTGTAGCCCTCAGTCATTCTAGTGGGCACTGCAGCTCAGTGGTGAGCTGTAGTTACTTGCTTTAGGTTATGCTGGGGACCACTTTGGCTTTCTAATTAGCCCAGAATACCTCAGCTGGCCCAAAAGGATGCAAAACCAGCTGCATCCTCCCATTCTTTCTGGAGCTTGCCTTCAGAGAATGTCTGACACACCAAATGCAAGCTGGGTCAAAGTCTCCCTTTCAAGTTGCCACAGAATTTGAGATCCAGGATCCTGATATTTTGTCTCTATCCTAAAAACATTAAGAGATGGTCTTAAATGTTTTAAAGTTAACTGCTCCCAAAATTAATGGAGATGACCTTTCCATGCTTTGGACAGGAGGCTTTGGTGCTTCCTGGCTGGCAGAATTCATAGAATCAGAGAATCTGAATGGTCTGGGTTGGAAAGAGCCCTAAAGATCACCAAGTCCCAAACCCCCTGATGTTGGCAAGAGTACCTTCTACTAGACCAGGCTGCTCAGAGCCCCGTCCAACCTGGCCTTGAACACTTCCAGGGATGGGGCAGCCACAACTTCTCTGGACAACTTCTTCCAGCGCCTCACCACCCTCACAGTAAAGATCTTTTCCTAACATCTAATCTACTCCTACCTTCTCTCCATTCAAAGCCATTCCCCTTTTCCTGTCATCCATGCCCCTGTAAATAGCGTCCCTCCACTTTTCCTGTAGGCACCCCTCAGGCTCTGCAAGGTTGGAATTAGGTCAGCCTGAAGCCTTCTCTTTTCCAGGCAGAACAATCCCGATTATCCCAGCCTTTCCTCATAGGAAAGGTGATCCATCCATCCATTTAATCAACTTAGTGGCCTCCTCTGGAGCTGATCCAACAGCTCTGTGTCCTTCCTGGGCTGGGGACCCCAGAGATGGACACAGCACTGCAGTGGGGTCCCAGAGCCGAGAGGGAGCATCCCTCCCTCCCTCTTTGGCTGCAGCCCGGGGCTTCGGGAAACACAACATCCCTTATTAACTTGGCTCATTAGCCGGCTGCATCCCAGCCCCGCGGGATTTCAGGTGTTTGCTGCAGAGAGAACCCGAACCAGGGACGTGCGGCGCAGCTCCCCCGGCGCTGCAGCGCGGCCGGCTGCGACTAGATGTCAGCACTCCACTGGGCAAGCGGCCCCGGCGCCGCAGCATCCCCGCCCAGCACAGGCCACCCAACCTGCCCAGGCTGCCAAAGAAAGGCCGTCTAACCTGCCCAGGGCTCGCACCAGGGCTGTGCAGGACAGCTGCAAAGCTACAAGTGAACCGAGCTGTTCTTTCGCAATGAAATACAATGCCACACCAAAAAATAAAAAAATTTTAAAAAATTTTAGAAAAATCACAGTGGACCTCAAAAAGAGAAGAAAAGGAGGGAAAAAAAAAAAATCTTCAATCATTTCCTTAAGGCCTTGGACTGTTCCTCCAGATTAAAAAAAAAAAAAAAAATCACAGTTCCCACAATAACTAAAAAAATTTTAAAAAATTTTAGAAAAATCACAGTGGACCTCAAAAAGAGAAGAAAAGGAGGGAAGGAAAAAAAATCTTCAATCATTTCCTTAAGGCCTTGGACTGTTCCTCCAGATTAAAAAAAAAAAAAAAAATCACAGTTCCCACAATAACCTGAACTCTGGCAAGGCAGATGCAGCACGGATAGCTCAGCAAAGCTTTTGTTATTTGGCTTGGTTTTGTCTCAAACGTGATGAGATAACATCGTCTCTCACAAGTCAGTTTTATGAGGATCTGTCAACTCAGTCCCCATCTGTTCTGGAAAAATAAGCCTTTTCAGGTTAGAGTAGGATGTGGATTCAAATCCACAGGGCACAGATTTAAATCAAAGTATCTGAAGCCCCTTCCAATTGCCAAGTAGCGAGGGGAGGGTTTGCATTTGAGCTTCCCTGACAAGCTGGCTTCTGTTTCAAGCCTTTTATCAACAATTAACACTTAAAGTATATCCAGCAAAGAGGAAAACAAGGAAGAAACAGTGCAGTGTATGAGAATGCAGTCTCTGCAGCACAGGGGAGACAGAGCAGGTAGGAAACAAAGTAGAGTTTCATTAATTCAGAGGTATTCACTTACAGCTACAAAATGAGAATGAAGTCTGCTAGAAGCAAGCAAGACACTGCCTAATGTAGAAAATGACAATCAAAGCATAAAAGTGTCATGACGCAAGAGATCCCAAAGCCGATTTCTTAGAGTGTTCAGAGTTTGTTCTTTACAAACTTGTGTGTATAGATCCAGAAACTGTCACTTCTACTGAACATCCAACACTTGGAACTGCACCCTGCACTGCACACTATTGAAAACTTTGAAGGAGAGAGAGCTGGGGCATTTTCAACAGCTCCATCCTGAGCTCTGGTCACCAGTGTCACAGCTGGCTGTCAGAGATCTCTGCTCAGAGCTGCCACCCCATTCTGGGAGCTGAGCCCTCAGCTTCACCTCAAAGCCCTTTAAGAAATCAAGAGACTCTAAGTAGCAGCATTTGCACCAAAATTGCCAAGGTACTATATTGATTTCTTTCAGTAATGGTAACATTCATAGTCTTATTTCATCACCCTCCTCAGAATCCTAAATGCTCCACTAAAGAAGAAACAGCTGCATCTGCTTGTGCATTGCTACTGTCAGTGATGAAGAAAACAAAACAGTCTCCTTAGGTATTGTTCACTGTCCTCAGATTCAACTATTATATTCTCAGAGAATACCAAAAACTTTTCATTAATCAATTACTAAGAAATTCAGGAGTGATCTGTAATTTCACAGACTGTGCTCTGTAGGAAGAGGATTCTTGTGATGTCTGCTCTAGTACTTCTCTCAGCCCTGTTTACAGCAAGTATCTGACAGGAGGGGAGCTGGCTGGGTGAGCAATGACTTCCCTCTGCACCAGAAATTCCTGTCCAGTTGGAAAGAGTTAGCAACTGTTATATGCTTTTTTTTTTCTCTCTCTCCGTTTGCATTCCTCATAAAATGATAGCATTTTGCTGAAATCACTGAACATAACAAAGGCAAAGGCAGCCTGACAGCTCTGCCAAAGCAACAGCTGCAGGTACTGGATAGGAAACACCTCTGAACTTTCAAAATGAGCTTTGGTAAGAACATGAGTGTATGAAAGAGGGGAGATCCAGCTTTCCACACCCAGCTCATTCCCAGTGCTGGCATCACATCCTTCCCTGGGGGTAACATTTAACATTGGAGTTTTCCAGCTCACACTGCCCTCTGAAACACATTCTCTCCCAAAAGTGAACACAACACCAAGCCCCCTCTCTCTCTGCTTCCAAGAGAAAGTGAGGGAAATAATCCCGAAGTGCTGGATGCTGTGCTGGCTCCAGCTTGAGGTTTCAAGCCCTGCTCTGATGGAAGATGACTGTGTCAGTCTCAGCCAGACTCACCACGTACAGAAATAACCTCAGCAGGAAGTGGAAACTACCCTGGTCTAGTCAATGGCTTTCTGCAAAAACTGTGATGTCAGAGCAGCAGCCAGCACATGCATTTTGGGGGGCTGGCTAGGGTTAGCAGTGTGTGACACCAGAGCTGTTTCACAGTCCAGACAGGCTTTCCCCAGTGCAATTAGGTGCCAGTGCCATCCTGACATTTGAGACGGCAGCTCGGCTCCTCTTCTGTAAGTCTGAGCATCAGGGAGTGTCCAGGACTGGAAACAGGCTACAGCCACTCCTGGGACAAAGAAAAGCTTTGGTGGGGGGTGCTGGGAGTGCCTTTTGCTTTCAAGGGAAGAAGAGCAGTGAAAGAAAGGTGCGTAAGAAGTAGAGGGATAAAGAAAGATGGAGAAAGAGAGGGGTCTCCAGACATCAAACTGCTTGCTGCTCTTCGAAGCCTTTGCAATGGGGTGAAGTTCTCCATGGACACATCCTGGCTCTTTATCAAGATCAGATTGCCTCAGGACAAGATGTTTGTAAAGAAAAAGCTGGCTAGATACCCATGCCTCTTCTCCCAAAAATAACAGCTTGACAGAAAATTTGAAATTAAGAGCAGTTGTAGGTATCATGATACTTCTTTTTTACCTGTCCTGAAAGATTCAGGTGGTATGACACATCACTGGCCCCATATTTTCCATCCTATGTTCTGACATGCTGCCTGCATTAGCATTGTCTTTCATACTTATAACATCTTTTACAGCAGAGCTCCCCATGGGGGAAAGAAATCTTTGAAGCTTCCCATTCAAATCTTCAAAGAAGGACCTTGAAGAGCACTCAGAGAGAGTGTGGGAAAGTCTGGAACAGGGATAATGCTATAAAGCTGACTTTCCCCTTTGTCCATCCATAATTGTACCGCTCTTGTGCTCCCACTTTTTGCATTTCTGTAAAACTCCCTGAGTGCTGAAGAAAGTTTATCCATTCTTCCATCCTGTTGGGAGTTTCTTCACAAAGTTGTGACCAGAAATAACCCATAAACCTGGAACACAGATTGCAGCCTTAACCCTGGCAGTGAGGAGATTGCACTGGAGGTGCTGGGCGTCTGCATCTCCAGCAGCATGCACTTATTGGGCATGTTTTTTCAAGCCAAATGCCAAACCTTTGCTAGCACACACTATTCTTGGAATTTTGCAAGCCAAATGCCAAACCTTTGCTAGTGGTATGTAACAAAAGTCCCTAGAAAATGCCAAGTTGTGCTTCTAAAGAATGTGGTAAAATCTGGTTGATTTTAGTTGCGGAATCACACTATTTGGAGAAATAAATCACTCAAGACATAAAAGGAGACACTTTTTCTTTCATTTCCTCTGTGACATATTCCCCAACGCAGCCATTAAGTCACTACCTTCTACAGGAAATTCTGTGGTAAAACCAGAAAGATTCCATCAAAACTGACGAAACAAAACCGTGTGCATGTCCTGTGGCTGCTCACTGCCGAGCCTGACTGCGAGGAGTGAGCTGCTCCCTGCACTCTGGATTGAATGGAAACTGCTGAGTTCTATTACGTTTATTACTTAGCCCACGATTATCTGCAGTATGTGCTCCAGGAATCACACCTCGGGCCAGCCCAGACCAGGGTTGCTCATGTCTTGAGAACCATGGCATCCTCTCTGCAAGACCAAACCGAGGAGGCTCTCAGGCCACTCCTGGACAGGATTGACATCACCTCTGTAGCTGTTGCCAAGAGAATTTTCAATGGAGTCATGGATGAAAAGTTTGCTGATGGAAATACTAACTGGGGACGAATTATGACCATATTTACATTTGGAGGTCTTCTCACCAAGAAGCTTCAAGAGCATGGGGTTCAGCTGACTGCAGAGGAGAAGGAGCAGATCTCTTATTTCATCACAGAGTACATCATAAACAACAAAGCTGAATGGATTGATGCGAATGGTGGCTGGGTGAGTTTCTCATTTTGCACCAAAGTCTATATTAGCAGATTTCATTAATTATTGCTATAGGCACTGTCAAAACCATTTTATTCAGGGTTTCATTTGGTGGCTTAATATTTGGTGTCTGGAATGTCTCATTGAGACTTACAGTGAGAGCTTGCTTCTGTTTTAAACAGAACAGTGATAAAAGACAACTTTATTTTTAAAAGGCACTTGCCAATTTTGAATGACAGGATCATACTGTAATCCAGGTTGACAATGACCTTGGAAAATCATTTGGTCCAGCATCCCAGTTAAAGCAGGTTAAACCACACATACCCTGAAATTTCCATTATTAAATCTAAAATTAAGTGACATCCTAAGGTCAGTGCAGCAATTTTGCTTTCATAGAGAAGTTGGTCCAAAAATACTTAATTTCAAGGTAAGGAAAGAATACACAGGTGTGATCCTCACAAATGAAGTCAGCACTTCTGTTGTGGATTTCAACAAAGCCATTATTTAATTCCCCAAATCAGTTTTACTTACAACTAATATACTGGTAAGTACAACTGGCATTAAATCTTTTCTGTTGGGACTGAGATAGTCCTAGAACTTCCATCTATGAATGGTCAATGCTGAGAAAAATACTTGTTACTAAGTGGACTGTTTTGCCAAGCTGCTGAAATTCCCATTCTGCCAGTGAAGGGAAATATCCTTTTGCTTTGCAAAGTTTTATCGCACCAATTTTTTTTTTTTTTTCTTTTTTTTTTTTTGCAGTTGGGGGAATTTGAGCATTAATGACACCAGTGTCAGTTATTTCCTTGGTACTTTTTTCCTTTCCTTATATGTGAATGTTACTTTTTCTTTCCACTCCCTCTCATCCCACCTCTCTCATATTTCCTACTACTTTTCCCCACAATTTATTTTCTAGTGTCTTGCTTTTCCTTTTTTTTTTTTTCCTTCCTGCTTGTTTTAATACTTCTCTGTCTGTAGCAGCAAAAAAAAGGTGATAGCGACTCTTGGCCCCTTAATACATTGGATTTATTATAGAAGCTTATCTTTCCATCTCTTTCAAAGAGAGTCAATTTTATTTCAGAGAAGTATCAACTCCTGGCAACATTCTGTCATAATAGGTGGCTCATCATAGTAGAATAAGGAAGCTTAAAGGAAGATATTTCTGGGTGTATTACTACATCAGAAACATAGTACTTGTACCTTCCTGGAAGGTGTGGGCTCAGATGATAGAGCTCATGTTTGTTTTCTATTTACACAGGGAGGGCATAGCCCTGACTTGGAGATGAAACAAACATTCAGCAAGGTGCAGCTATTTTAAGTTGCTATTTTTAAAGAGGTATTCATCTTTTGGAGGTAGAGCTCTGAAAAGCTGTCCCTCACTGCACAGTGCTGCAGCAATGTTAGATTACTCTGACACAGAGAGTGGTGTGGTTTCCCTATGTGCTGCTTTTAAGCTGTTCCTAACTGTGTGTGTTCTTTTCCACAGGAAAATGGCTTCCTAACAAAGTTTGAAAGAAGATCACTACTGTCCTTCTCCAAAATTACAGCCCTGTTCATAGCTGTTGTTTCCTTGTTCAGAGAGTACTACTGAAGTAACAGGATCTGCCATTCGTGTGTAATCTAGATATTGCCACAAACTTCACTTCTCAGCCTTCCTCCAAGCAATATCAACAAGAGAATAATTTCCTTCCATCATTGGTTTTTAATTTATTTGTATTTATTTTGACTAAATACAATGTTTAACATGCTATGCTCATTACCAAATCTGCAGATGAGATCCTTCCACAGGGGAACCTGCACAACATCATGCAGCAATTCAAGTCCACCTTTCCAGGCAGGATTGCCTCGAGATCATTTTCCACTTCCAGACAGCTCTTGGAATCTCTCTTGCATCTCCATGAAAGGACATTGTTTTAGTGAAATACAATCCAATGGGTTAAGAAACAAGTTTTTATGTCATTTGTTTTGTAAATGAAATACTACTGTAATGCATTTTAGTGCAACCTCTGTATAAGAAAAAGGCGGGGGGGGGGGGGGGGGATGTGAAGAAAAAAGAAATGGGAACTCCAGTATAGAAATGGGTAGAAGTTACTGACACAGACTAAGCAATTTATATGGGAAGAACTGTTTGTGGAAGCTAGCAACTTAAAAATGTGCACTCACTTACTGTTATAGCAATGGTATGTGTTTCTGCGCTGTATTTTTTTAATAGCTCACATCTACAATGAATGTTCTTTCATATTTGTGTGATGTAGTCATCTGGCTGAATGTTTTTTAAACTAGATGTTTAAAAAAAGGCAAGCAAAAATATTTTTAAATGGGAAATTTGTGTAAATACACTAATATTTTAAGAAAATACATTAAAATATGTATTTTAAAGTCTTAAGATTGGTCTCATTTTTTCCAGAAAAATCGGTGCATGGAAAAAGATCTGTCTAAGATAATCTTAGAAGAGTTATCAAAATGCTGCTGGAAAATCCAAGTAGTTTATGGATTTGACCTGAGGTCCAAGGATGTAAAGACTTTCATTTTCTGTAGTACTTTTTAGGCACTATCTGGTAGCTTGCATAAGAAACAGATATCTTGTGTCAAAACAAATAAACTGGATCAGCTCTGATGACAGTAATCAGTGTTTTGGGATACATCATAAAACTCAGCAAATTCATAGAACTTCCAGGCTTTTACAGTCTGGGGCAATTCATGTTTTTACTCAAATTCTACTTGCTTTCCAAGCCTAAAGAGTAATTGTTCAAGAATTCATCCTAGAAGGGTTTTCTTCAGCTGTAGTGATTTTCCATTAGGGAACTAAGGCTGGGTCTAAACACACTTCTTCTTTTTTTAGACATGCTGGGAGGTGAACCAAGCAGAGCCAGCCGCCTGTGGCACACAACACTGCTGTTCTCTGAGACAGATCCTCTAAAAATCCAGCTTTGTGACACTGAGAGAACAAATCAGCCTCTTCTGTAACGGGCTCCCATCTTTCATCTCAACATAAGACTCTTTTTTTGCAGTAAGAACAATTTTTTACTGGAACAACCTGCCCAGGGGTGTGGTAGAGCCCTGCTCCCTGGCAGTTTTCAGGGTACAACCGAACAGGGCACTAGATAGTTTCACCTAGGTTCCCTTTTCCAGGAATGGCTGGACCACACCAGCTTTCAATGTCCCTTCCAGCCTGAATTGTTCTGTGATTCCATGGTCTAACTTGGTGGGTTTAATCATAGAACACAAACAGATGTTAATGTTTGTTAGAGCATGTATTTCTTTTTCTCCTTCTCCAGTGAAAACAAGAAATATTATTTAGCATGCAGGCAGAATTTGTAAGATAAACTCTGTTGCTGTTGAAGAAAAGATGTCCAAAGAAGAAAAGTGTTCAAAGGGCAGGGGGGGCAGCTAAAGGAAAATGCCCACCTCCAGAACACCTATGGCAGCACCTGTCAGAAATGACATTTTGGAACATGTTATGACATATGTCTTTATAGGCAGTCTAAGTCTTCATGGTAAGAACAGTAATTCTTAGTCAGTTCCTTTTTGAGCTCTACTGCAAGCCACACATTATAGTGGCTAACACCAATCTATTAATACTACCTCCACTTCCTTTTACACTGATCTAGTAACCTACTTTATACTCAGAAGTACAATTTTTTAGTTAAATATAAAGGGTAACTGTGTCTTTTCAAAATGTAGGTGATACAGTAATTTTAGAACTTGTCTTCTTAAGTAGGGCAGGGTTTAAACAAAAGAAGCCTGGATGGATCATTAGCAGTCCAGTGGACTCCAGGTTAACTTCACTGGGAGAAAACCTCTTTTTTTCAGTGCAGAGCAAGAAAAGCAGTGATGATGCACCACCCCTATTCTAAGCATAATGAAGTGTCTGAAAACAGCAGGGCTATTAGCTAAGTTTTATAAAATAGTGTCCATGTAACTGTCATGAAGTTATCCATCCATGACACTGAGCAGTGCCCAGGTCCTGGGGCACCGCTGTTTGAGGGATCCTTGGATCTGCCAGGGGAGAACCACGCGCTGCTTCCAGAGCAAAAGGGGAGGCCAAAGAGCTGCCCAGAGGGAGATGAGATGTCATCAAAAGCCACACAGAAGAGATTTATTAAAACAGCTGCTCTCCTATAGAAATGTCTATTTCCGCAATAAAAATCACAGAATCAATTAGACTGGACAAAACCTCTAACATCATTGACCTTTGGCTGGTCACCACCTTGTCAGCTGGACCACGGCACTAAGTGCCACATCCAGTCATTTCCTGAGCACTTCCAGGGATGGTGACTCCATCATCTGGGAAGGTCAAAGGCGTGTTGGACCCAGAGGCCTGCCTTGGGACAGCACATCTTCCCTGTGGGCACAGCTCCCGGGCTGGACACAGCTCCCGGGCCGGACACCAGAGCCACGGGCACGGGGCTGGCTGCCACAGGGATACGAGCCCTAGCCTGGCAGACGGGGCTAGAGCATCCCGCCGAAATGTACTTTCCCTTCCTACAGCGAAATTAGAGAAGAGGAAATTCACTACGATCTGCGCCAGGGGAGGCAAAAAAAAAAAAAAAAAAAAAAAAGCCCCACCACGCTGGTGTTGGCAGGGGCCCCGCAGCACGGCGGGGCCGGTGCCACCCGGGCTCGGAGCGCTCGGAGCGGGCGGTGCCGGGCCGCCCCCGCCG